CTCTCTCTCTCCCCCTCAAACACACGTACACAGAATTAAAACTTCCACATATCCACAAAAACAATTACTGGCGCTCATATGACCTTATGCAGTTGCGATCGCCGTAAAACCTCTACCAAAACAAACAAACAAAAAACAATTACCACGAAAAGAATATTACCAATTTTGACTAATCACTCCAATGAAATAGAAACTGTAACAACATGCTTGGATTAGATCATTAAAAACCCAGCGACTGATTGATTGCTCCGTTCCTTTGTTGTTGTTGTTGTTGTTGTTGTTGTTGTTGTTGATGTTGTTGTTGTTGTTGTTGTTGTTGTTGTTGTTGATGATGTTTTTATGTAGGTGTCTTTATACCCCCACCAACACAATTAACATCTTTGAAGAGGTAGGCTTCGACCCTGTCTCTCAAGGCTAACCCGGACTGAGAGGAAAACAACATCCCAGGGGCATTTAGTTGGTGGTTGATGGGTGCTCTGGTGTGGTTTGCTCCTTCTTTCCTGTAAAAAATCTGTCGTCCTTTTCTCCCCTTCTTCTTTTTGTATGTTACTCTCTTGTAACACATAATCTATTTTTCGGCACTTATGTGACCTTATAGTGTTTCAAGTGCCGTAAAACACTTACTAAAACTAAAACAACATCCCAGAAAACAGACCGCGAGATACTCGCTGAGAATTATCCGGTATGCATGGTAATTGAACACTACGGGAAAAGTAAAGGATCTAACATTATAAATTAGGCAAATTTATTACAATACTTATGTTTGTAATACATATCACTATCATGCTCAGCTTTTCCTACTAATCAGATGACGTCAATCTGATATGAATTGCCAAAGGACAAGAACACCACCCCCCCCCCCTAAAAAAACACAACGTCAAACAAAAAACAACAAAAAGAATAAAACAGAGAAGAAATCTATGAGGCGCTCGGAAATCAAACTCAGGTCACCCGCGTGCAGCGACAAAGGGCCTAACCTCTATAACCACAGAGAGACGCATGTCCTCTCGTTGTAGCGACTAATATATGGCATCGTGGTGAAATTAGGCGCTCGTCAAATTAATGAAATCAAAGAAACCTGCATTTTCCCGCTCTTAGAGTAATTTCTTTTTAGTTTTTGTTCTCCGCTCAACACCGTTTATGTCCATTAAAAAACACATATTGATGAGGATTTTCCTGAAAAACTTGATCATAGGCACAATAAAATGTGAATTTGCAGTTGTCAGTGACACAGCAGCTTTAAAAGTCATCAAAATATAGCGGCCATTTTCTCTCTAATTTTACCTCTTATACCTGACGACCCCCACCTCCTTCATTCTCAGTTATCTCGATTTCTATTCAACATAGGTGGGGTATTTCTTCATCAAAAGTAAAATTAATAAACACTTTTTAAGGTGACACCAATAATTTGTCATTTAAAATGCCCACTATGGCATTGTATTGCCTGCATTAAAACCTATTCTCCAAGTACCCAAGCCCCCCCCAGTGCCTCTGACTGAAGTGTCTTTAGGCCATTCACAAAAGGGAGACATTTCTCGTTCTTATGCACTGTAGAATTGTAAATGGGCTCATTCAACAATGTCATGCTCATAACTGTGCCTGAACTACAACAGGGAACTGCTGCCTTTTCTGTCCTAATCCTTAATTTTGTCCTTTGCCTCTATTTCTTTTGTATGTTTGTCACAGTCTTGTGACCCGCTATTTCTGGGGTGCCTTGAAACTCTTATGAAATGCTCAAAGATTGACGAACGCCCGATTCTACCGCGTATAACAGAGAATAGTAATGTTTTCGGCGTGCGCACTCTTGTGTCTGGTGTCTCGCTAACACCTGTGGGAACGTGTAACCATAAACGCCCATGTCACACAGCCGTGATGAGCATACAAGCCGGAATATCTGGTCGTGCGAGGGGAAATGAAAGGGACGTGATCGATATATGAGCAAATATTGTCCGAAGTAAATTAACGCTCGGTTTTTTTTATTATTTCTTACTTTTATAATTAAGGTTTGTTTTTGCATCGAGTGTGATGTTTGGGAGTGCGCATGTAAATGTCGAGGTGTGCATGTGTGAGTGGATGTGGGAGTCTGCGTGTATGTTTTAGTTTGTTTTAGAGGGAGAGAGAGTGGGTGAGGGTGATAGAGGGAGGGAGATTTTTTCATGGGGAACGGCTGCCTTTTTCGGGGGGG